ATATATATGTAATAATTATGGGAAGCATAGAAGAGGAATCAGCTTGCAGTCATCTTGGTTGACAGATGATGATAACAAAACATGAACTTGACGAATTTCAGTTTTTATTTCCACACATATTAAGTCATCTCTATAGATGTTTATCCAATCATAATGAAATATGATAAACTGTGGCATACATAGATTCTTAAAATTAAGACAGAAGCATTTTAGATGGGGAAGCAAAGCGAGGTGATATGAGCAAAGTAGAAGCTAGCAGACAAAGGATGCAGAATTAAGACGTAGTTAGCTCACCAGAGGATTTTATACCGGAGTAGGAACGATTCTAGAGACAAGCTATGATTAATTAATATTAGTTTTGGTTGGCCTTTTCAAGAAGCATTACATAACGTAGAAAAATCTTGAATTTGGGAGAACAGAAGAATTTAGGGGGAAAGCAACAAATCTAGAATACTAATTTTGAGGTCGCCAATCATTTTTCAAAGCAGCTATCGTATTTTGTTGTATTATATATATATATAAAAGCATGAAGAAACTTGAGAATGTTGAAGATCTATGCCAGCCAGATACCCAAAATATTAATGCCAAAAATGAAGAAATGTCGAGTTGAATGTTCCCCAAATCTGTCTCTGTAATAAACACTTCTAAAAATTTAGTACTCATACAATTTCCTGTCCATTATATTTGACAAACCAAAACAAAGTGATTTAGTGCCAATACTGGATAAGTGTAACATCATAACATGATCATAAGATCTTTGCTTTTGTGAAGAAAGTTTTGATTTGATTTATGGGCAAGGTCCTCATCCACCTTGCCAAATCAGCATTTAGCCAACAAATAATACTGGGCCAGCTCATGCAACAACATATGAAACCAGCCATATTCTGTACACATATCGCAAAAATTTTAAAGGGATATATAAACCATCCCAAATGAAAATTTAAGAAATAATTTTAAAAGCTCGGGAAAATAACAAAAAAGGCTAGCAATAAACTAAAAATAAAACATGAAGTACATCTAAGAGATAAATAATATAATTAATAAAATAGATAAATGAATAATCCTTTTATCCATTAGATCTGAACACATATACACAAATCAATGAATAATGCAAACTGAAAATAACTGGAGTTAAACTGGAGACTAAACAAATAAAATAAAAATTTTCACTCATACCTCAACCCTTACTATATCTCTATTTTTAAAAATTAGCCTCCTCATTTCTCATGGAAAAGCATCAGCTTTTCTCTTAAACATATTCTCATTAAAATTGGGACAAATAAGTCTCTTATATTCTGCATTAGATTCAATGAAGTGCCTACTGATCCCAACAATATTATACTTTTCACATAGATGGTGAAACTTGTTTAAATAAGCTGAGAACCATATATGATCAGTAATAATTTGGTTTAAATTAATATCCTTGTATATCCTCCTATTCTTACAAAAAGGTAAGATAAGGTTCAAAAAATTTTTATTTTTCTATGATTTCTCCCAACAATGAATGCATTCTTTAACTTCCCCCCCCCATTGTAAGAAAAGAAGGCTGTAAGTAAATTGAGACTGCTATTTTTCTTTCTAGCATTTTAAAAAACAATGATTAAACTTTGAACCTGCCTTCTACAGAACAGCAAGAGAAGAGTAATTCCATAACTGTAATGGTTATATTGATGCAAATACTCAAAATGTTGAAAGACTGGATTGAGAACAATGGCACAGTAAAAAAAAAAAAAAAAAAAAAAAAAAAAAAAAACACTGTGGATAGTGTAACATAAATTTATATTAAAGGGAATTTATATTACATGTTCACAAAGACTATTTTAATGCTATTTTAAAATGCCATTAGAAAAGTTTGGGATGCTACTGAAATGACTCACATGGACTTTTATGAATTTGTTTGTCAGGTAATCTTAAAGCTTTATCACTTATTTCATTTTTTATCATATCCCTAAATTTTATCTGTTGATTACTTAATTAAATCAACAACATAAAATGATATTAAATTAAATAAAGAATGATTTTTCCTTCAAACTTTCATTGAAATGGCTGATACAAGTTTGGTAGGATTTCTACTAACTTTCACAGTTGACAGGAAAATATGCATGTATCAAAAATTTTTATACACAGCTAGTGACAGGCTATGAAACGAAACAACTATTGTGATGAAGAACAAAATAACATAACATAGTGGATCTATCTAATACTACCAGACCACCAGCCAAAAACAGTCCCAGTTTTTGATGAATGCATTCAATCCCCCCCCAAAAAAATGTTTCTAAGACATTTGTTTATCCTTCCCTCCCCCCCCCCCCAAAAAAAAGAAAATTATTCATGAGATGAAAAGGGAAATGGGATAAATTTTTCATTCTCATATTTTAGTAGGAAATGTTCTCCCAAAATTTTGTTCTTGTTGGAAACCAGTTTTTCATATGCCAGTCTGATCTTATTCTGCAAGAACTTTGAACTGCCTCAGGACAATTGGTTTCACTTTATCCAGTACTTCTCAGCCATACAGCTAATGATAATTCCCTGATGATATTTGCCCCCTGCCCATTCCAGGAAATGGAATGGGCTTTCTAATTATCATGATATGCAACTCTGGTTTGAACACTATGGTGAACACAAATGTGATGTTTTCTATATTCATTAGCGGTAATAATGTTTATGTACCGATTTTAAGTATGCTCTTTGAAGTTTACATGTAATGACATTCCACAAGATGCAAGAATACCTCTGAGATGCTTCATATGAGAATTTTCCAGGAAAATTCTAAAACACTGAGAAGCCACAAAGGTATTAGCCATAAAACACAGTGACAAACTCAGCAGAGAAGTGCAGCTGTTGTACAACAAATGCTCAACACTTACCTTTTTCAATAAATCCTCATGAATTTTTTTTAATACAGTTGTTCTACCCATACACATAGCAATCATCTGTTTTTGCTTTAAAAAAATTCAGAAAATTGTACAAATTCGGCACCATGCACAAATTTTGATCTATGAAATTCTATTGTTCAAGAAGTACAAGCTTCATGGAAGGTGAATTTTTGTATTCTCTACAGTTGGGCAAAATGCAACGTTTTCTTTTCAATTAGCCAGCAAACTCTGTAGTCCCATTACAATTCCTCCCAAGAATAGAGAGAAAAAATGCAATGGAATGAATACTTTTCAGGGAAATGTGGATGATCAGAAAGAATCCATTTCTTTTCTGCTAAAACCTGAAGCTTAATGTAGTGGCTGAGCCAAATGCACTCAAATAAATATATAAAAAAAAAAAAAAAAAAAAAAAAAAAAAAAACGGTACTTTACCTTTCCTCCTGCAATATAAGAATAAATAAACAGTCAAAGTCTTAATCTGACTTCGCGATTCCGGATTATCGATTTTTCCGATTATAGATCATCAGTTTAATCTGGTAAATGACATCAGAAATTACAAATAAAAATATGAACCGTAATTTATGAAATAAAAAACAATATGATCAAGGTTTTCAAAATTTACAAAAAGAAAAAGCTAATATTTATTTGTTTACTTTATTAAACATTTCTTTCAATGTAGTTGTTTTAAGTGCTTCGTTTCGTGTGATAATACTTTCTCTTTAATTCTATTAAACAGACATAATTTGTTTACTTACAAGTTGTCCGCTGTTCAAGTCCTATAACTGCTATTCGAGAATCGCTAATTTGTCATCGAAATTTTTGTTTTCAATAACCTCTGTGTCACTTTCTTCACTAATCGGAAGCGAATTATAATGAGGAACTTGATTTAATCATATCAAGACGGAGTACATCGATGAAAATACTACATTTAGTAAGGAATTATAAGCCAAAAAAAAAAACATCTGCGCTGAGATAGAAGAGTGCTGACAGATCACTTCCAGTTCAATGCGGGCACGACTTTCCCCCCCCCCCACACACACACGCAAGCGCGTGAAATTGAAACAGATTTCGGAATGGTAGATAAACAAATCCATTATCCTTTATCCATTTTGCAGCAATTCCACTTTGTTTAATGACTTGAAACATACTTTTGCGTTGTAGATCCGTTACATACAGTAAATATATATCAGAAATTCTATTTAACATAATCGAAAGTCAAGCTTACTTTTATAAATTGCTCTAACAGACTGCAAAAAGAAGAAGCCGGATCCAATTTGAAGATTAAGGAACAACCAATCTGCACATTAACTGATTAGATAATTTTTAGCTTAGCTTATACCGTCCGTTATACATTAAACGTGCATGCGCAGAAAGTTTGTAGCTTTGAGGTCCGAATTATGGGTGTCCGAATTAACAACTTTTGACTGTATAACATAATAACACATAATAATTAATTAATAAGATAATGAGAAAAATAAATTTTATTATAAAAAGGGGTGGAAGGGGCATTGCTCCTGTCGATTAGTGTTTATTTCAGGTGGAAACTGTTTGCCTATTGCCTCTATAAAGGAAAAAAACAATTCCTCCCACTTGCTTCTTTCTCCAAATAAATTCGGGCAACAGGACACAAATTGGTAGCAATCTATAACTGCAGTGCTCTGTTATAAAAATAAACTTATCAAAGGAAATTTACGTGTCTATGAAACATCATGTATAATATAAAAAATAAGAGAAATTGCACAGAAGTGAAACAACATTTATAATATAAAAAATTTACCAAAAAGTAAGTTTAAAATATAATTTTTAATCAATCAGAATTAATACTCATTATTTTGGAAGAATTTTTGCAACAGCTATACATTCCCAGTTTGATAAGAACTTTTCTTATGCATAGCTTGAAAAAATAAAAAGACGACGAAGTACAGAAAATTTTCCTTAAATACAAATTACTCAAAACATAACAAACTTTTTGTATTTCCAGAAAATGCAGATTTATATAACGCAGTAAATGCATATGAAAATTTAGATCAATAATTCAGGATTTTAACTAGCATATTACAAAAATAAACTCAATTTAATTATATAAGTTTCACTTAAGATCACCATGTACAAAATAACACATACCATCGAGTTATAGAATCCTCAATTGCACTTGTTAATGCATGTCCAACGTGCAAACTTCCAGTTACGTTAGGAGGAGGTATAACAATAATAAATTTGTCTTCATCTTTCACTTTAGTGAAATCTTTATTCTATAAAATATTAATAATTAAATAAAGTTCTTCACAATATATTTAGTGCATATAAAAGAAATTGTGCATACTTGATAGTTTAAAAATCACTTGCAGAGAATATGAAGTAAAAAATCATTCAGCATTTACCTAGTCATTAAAAAATAATAATAATACACTTAACCAGTTAACTGTGATTGATGAGTATACTCATCATAAAGAAGCGGCACGATTTTATGTATTGACGAGTATACTCATCATGCATATAAAGCAGTGTAAGCAACGTAATAGAAACAGAGAAAAGAAAAATAATAACAAAGAACCCGGAGCTAGTGATTGATTATAATATAATGGGTGGGATGGATATGAGTGATGGAATTATCATAGCGTACTCCACAACAAAAAAATGACTCAAAAAGTACTACAAAAAGATATTTCTCCATTTCTTACACATTATGTGTCTGAATGCATTCACATTATATAAAAAAAATAATGGAAGATTATTGCGTATCAACTTTTTGCTCAAGTGCATTGAAGACACTTTTGCAACGTATCCAATTGAAAGAAATAAATCGACACAAACTTGGCCATTTAGACCTAATATAAGCCAATTAGACGAAAATCATGTTCCGGATTATATACCTGGAACACTGAAAAAAACAACCCTATGCAAAGATGTTCACATTGCTACAAACGTAAGATCAGGAAGGAATTGCGTTATTGGTGTTCGATTTGCAAAGTCCCATTGTATATAGTACCCTGTTTCGCTGAATATCACTCCACAGCAGGAATTTAAATTCTTACTTTAATATGTATAATATTTAATTTAATTTACTGTGTTTTTTGTTTAATATGTATGTAATACATGCTTATGTTAATCAAATAAGTAAATACTAGTAATAAAATTTTCAATTTTATAAAATAAACCCATCTTTTTCATCCATTATCTTACCAGCGCAGCTTACTCTGTGATTGACGAATACACTCATCATGGCTCGATTCTGGCAATACAAAATGGTGCGCACTCTTAAACAAGAACACCACAGTTAACTGGTTAAAATAATATAATCATTACACTGTATACCAGTGGTACCCAAGAAGTTTCTGAGCTACTGTACCGTTTTTAAGTCCTACTGTGAGTTACTACCCAAAAGAACTACCAACATTTTTTTTTTTTTAGATCTTACATTTGCTTACTGCCTATAAATATGATGTAAATATGACGTCAGTTCTAGCTAAACTGTATATACCAAAAACAAACTGAAATTGAATTGTACCGAAGAAAGAAATTGAGGTGCAGTTAGTAATAAACAGCAAATATAATAACAGATTTTTTTAGCAGCCTTATTAACTTTAATGAGAAGGATGGAACTTTTTTTTTTTTGTGTTTTTTTTTTTTTTTTTGTTGTTGTTGTTGTTGTTGTCATCAACAAGTTTCTTAGGATTGGGAGAGTAGGTAGTGGCTGCCATTTGAATGTATTTGCCCAAGTATTCATCAGTGAGCCTGTTTCTATACTTATTTTTAATAAATTCCATACTGGAAAAAGAAATATCACACAATACATAAAGCTGAACATCGCCTTCACTTTGAGACAAACCAAAATTGGGTATTTTTCTTTAGGAATATTCGGCCAAATATTTTCAGAGCTTGACGAAAGTGATCTGGCAGATAAATCATTTTGAAAATCAATCAGTTCTAATTTAACTGCTGCTTTGTCTTCTTGAAAATAAAAATGCTTCATGGCACACTCTTCAGCATTAATCTCTATAAAAGGCGATTTGACAAACTGTGCAACAATTGAAATCCTTTTGAAATCTTGGAAGCATTTGTTGAATTCTATTGTCAAATCTGAAATAATTTCAACGTATTGTTTGCCATTGTAAGGAAGTATTGAAGACCTTGCTTATCAAGGGTTTGTTTCAAACAGGCAGTGTTTGTATTCATCTTTGATGATATTTTTCCCCACAGTTCCAGCTTTTTTGAGAATGAAGCAACATCTGAAATTGTTCCAAAAATATCTTTATCCTTACCTTGAAGCTGCAAGTTCTGGATATTTAACTTTTCAGTGATGTCTGCGAGAAAAACAAAATATTGCAGCCAAACCGGATTTTCTATTTCACAGAAGGATTGGTCTAATTCTTTAAAAAATTCTACTAGGTAAAAAGCAACTTTTGGAAACGTTGTAAAACTCTGCCTCTACTCAACCAGCGAACTTCCATATGAAGCACTGAAGCACCATATTGGCAATCTAGTTCAGCAGGCAGTGCTCTGAAGAAACGTCTCTGAATTGCATGTACTCTAACTTTGTTCACTATTTTTATGACTGTTTTCATTATATTGTTCATACTTAGAAACTTTCCACACAGTCACTCCTCGTGCATTACACAATGGTAAGACAGAAATTTCAGAAGTCTGTTGAATTTAGGACACAAGTTTATGAATCCCATCTGTCTGCCTTCCATTGCAAAAGCTCCATCAGGTGCTAAGCCCACCAACTTATTTATAGGAAAATTTTCAGAGTTCATAATATCGTTCATAAATTTTCAGAATTCATGTAATTCAGATCGATCAAATCGAGTTCATGTCAATCGACAGTTTGGTGATCACTGCTGTACGCTATAGTTTTCCATTTAACCATCTCAATATAAGTTTCTTATAGATTTCATAATAGGGAATATATTTAATTTTCACAATCAATTACCAATTTTACGGGAACCGACAAACTTAATTATTTTAAAACATAAAATTAGTGTTCATTTGATTGTAAAAAATACTTCAAATATGGAACCTACTGCTAACTTTCCCACTTTACAAAAATCAAATTACAAAAAATTTTTAATTAAAAAAAAAAAAAAAGTATCTTTATTTAGTGTCTTTCTTTCACAGCTACTAACTTGAAAGCTTCTAACAATAATCAACCTTCAAATAAACATTCCATTACTTATTATACTTCTCTTTCACATCAGCAATATCTTGACGAAATCTTCACCCATGCTCATATAAAGCAGTTGCCAGATTTTTATAAAAAAAATTCAAATGGGACTGAATAAAAGGCAAAACTTCAGTAAAAAATGACAACTCAAAGCTGGATAGAATGGAAGCAGTTACTGCATGAAATCCTTATAGTTAGCAGATTTCTTATAGCCCTCAAAAAGTTGGTACACATTCTAGCTGTTGTCCTTGTTTCATTTAAACTACTCCTGAATTTAAAATTTTAGAAACCTGCTTAATTTTTGGTTTGATAATTTTTTTTTCTTTTCTCATTTGAATCACCAAATTTCTCTTTTAAATAAGAAAGGCTTAAAAAAGGTCTACCTCTTTCATTAACAATTGCTTTAATACGTAATTTAATGGAAAAACAGCTTTATATTGAAGATCAGATTTCTCTTCTATGCATTACATTTTACACACCATATTTTTTTTTTTTTTTTAAATCGCAGGCAATAAATCACAAAGCTAACTTTTTTGTTGTGCATTAGCTGTCCCTTGCTTAATTATACTACTTGTAAGACATATGAGTAAGGCCTATTTTTAATACTATTAATTATGCCTCAACCTTTTTAACTAGTAGTCTTAAGCATTTCAAAGTACTGTTTAAATACAGTCATAAATCACTTTGATGATCATAACATAAACTACGGAAACAAATAAATCCATGACATAAACTATAGAACAAGAAACTCCTTTTCAATTTATTTTCCATGAAACTGATGAAAAAACCTCTAGTTTTCCAGTTACATGACAGCTTATGTGCAGTCGTCAATCCTTGGCTATTACAGAAGAAAGAATCATGGCATTGTTTTAAAATTATGGGAAAAAATTCCATATATATATTTAAAACACTCACTAAAAATTCAGGTTTAAAAAATCCAGACTTTTCCCACCAAGCATACCACGCAGCTTCAACATACTTTGGGCTGTATGCGTCTGGCATTGGACCAGAAATATCTAAAAAAAAATTTTTTTTAAACAGATATGGGAATATAATAGTACAACAAAAGATTTTCTATCAATAACTTGTGAAAGTTAAGATTGTTTTCAAATTTTAAATTTTTATATTTTATTTTCATATTTCAAAATTTCCTTTTCTGTCATAATTCTCACATTTAAAAAACAAAATTTTAATAATTTAATATTGTTAAAAGAAAATTTAATATTTTTTGTTAACATTATTCAGCTGATTAAAATTTTTGAACTAAATATCAGTTTTCTAATTAAACTCCAGATTTTTTTTTTTTTTTTTTTTTTTTTTTTTTTTTTTTTTTTTGTTTGTTTATTGCTGTTGTTTGACTCTTAATACATATCAAATGGAACACTCACACAGTTGAATACAATAACATGAATACTCTGAATATATCCAGTCTTGCATAAATGTATGCTAAGAAATTTTCTCAGAATTTGGTGAAATTTGAACGAAAATTTGAAATAATATTATTCATTTTATATACAGTCAAAAGTCGTTAATCCAGACTCGTCGGGACTTCGGCGATTCCGGATTATAGATCATCAGTTTAAATCTGGTAAGATGGCAAGCAAAATTATAAAATTAAAATATGAAACCGTAATTTATGAAATGAAGAACAATTATGATCTAAAGGGTATCAAAATTTACAACAACAAAAAAAAAAAAAAAGCTTAATATTTATTTGTTTACTTTATAAAACATTTCTTTCAATGCAGGTTGTTTAAGTTGCTTCGTTTTTCATGTGATAATACTTTCTCTTTAATTCTATAAACAGACAAAATTTCTTGTTCAGTTACAAAGTTCCGCTGTTCAAGTCCTATAATTGCTGTGTCGAGAATACCGACTAATTTGATAAACAGATTTCGGAATGGTTAGATAAACAAATCCATTATCCTTTATCCATTTTTGCAGCAATTCCACTTTTTGTTTAATGGACTTCGAAACATACTTGAACTGTGATGTTCTAATTCTCAGAAGTGATGCTAAATTCTCATCTGTCAATCAATTTCTAATAGAACTCTTCCTAAGATTAATGGTAGAAAATACTTGTTGACATATATAAGATGAATCAAACATGGCATTAAATTTCTATGTATGAGATGAAACTTGCTTTCACAATTTGTAAAACTCTGCTATTGGAACACCGAGAAACAACTGCTTGAGATGATTGTTAGATTGTAGGGTACTTTTCCGTTTTGCTGGCGCAGGCGTTAAAAGTCGCCAATAATGGTACAATTGATGTGAAACATAATATCCTCGCTGGTAACCTTTTATGTCTCATTTTCAGAACAATTTGCAGCTATTTCTTATCAGACTCCTTCAATACTGGCATACAATTACATAGAATTTTTACCAGATAGTTCATTTTTTATGCTGTAAGGCCATTTGTGGTTATTAAGTCAATTAGGATGCAATTACACCACTAACCCAAAGACGAAAATACAGAAAAGGCAATGTCAAGGGTTAAATTCATCAATTCTAATGAGAATGCACTAGCAAAGTAAAGCACTACGGTTTTACATAATTTCTGAGTAAGCTATTCGTACGAACTGAAATAATTCTTGCATTTAAACTTGCATTGCAAATTAAGATTTAACTTGAAATCGACATATATGATTAAGGAGAGAATTAGATTTTTGTAACGTAGTTTACGTGAGAACAGATCACTTGGGGTTATGTGATGTGAAAAGGCGAATCAGGATGTTGAACCATGAAAGTGCAGTAAATTCTTAAATTAATATCTTTTTACAAAGTTATTGTCTTTATTTATTAGCTTTTTACAAAATTTGAAACGATACTAAAATGTTTACGCCTTCAAAATAAAAAATGCTTAGAGCTAACATTTGTTAACATATTTTATGTGTACACTGTATGTTGTCACCAATAAAGTCTGCTTGGCGAGATTTGCGGCGGCGAAACGGAAAGGTACCAATTGTAGCTCAATTAATTCAAGATGCAAATCCAGTCTCAACGCTTCATAGTTTATGCTGAAAGGCATAGTAAAAATATTCCACTCTGTTTGAACGGCACTAAAATCTTATAATCTGCATTCAAACTCAAAATGCAGTTTGCTCAGGCCATCCTCATAATTCTCAAACTTGTCTTTATTTATTAAGGGTAATGAATTTAACCTTGGGAAATAAAGACAAGTTGTTCTTAGCTAGCTGCTCAGCAAACACATCACATTTTAGAAAAAAGTCTTTGAGATGAGTCGAGATGATTGTTAATAAATATACTTTTTTATGTTTAACTTGACATTTAAATTGTTCATATCAACCCCATGCACACCAATTCCTCAGTAATCTCAAAGTTCTTATCAACACCTCTTATAAATAATAGTAGTTGCGCAGTATCATTTATCTCAGTGCTTTCATCTACAGCTATGGATCAGAATTTAAACTAGCTAATCTTTGAGTCTAACTATGATGCCAGATTATTATTTATGGCTTCAACTCTAGATGGGACCATTTTTTAAATAAGCTTACAATCTTAAAATTCATTTTCTTGCTTGAACATAAAACATTACGAACTTAAAGCACACATTGTTTAGCGAAGTGCCCATTACTGAGAGCTTTATTACTTTTAGCAATACTCTATGCTACAATATAACTTGCATTTGTTACATTGTAGCATACAGACACTTTGACAACACCAAAGATAACTATTGATCTAAAAGAGGTGTCTTGCAAGAGCAATAATATTTATCTATTTCTTCAAAGGCCGCATATAAATTTTGTTTGTATTTTTTCATTTTTATATCTAAAGGCTCTTGGTTCTTTATTTTCATTCGCTTTGCCTTCGCCTTCAGTCTTTTCATGTTATCCAAATTATTTCTCAAAATCTAATTCATCAAGTGGAAGAAGAATGTTTCAAGACTCAAGAAAAAAAAAAAAAAAAAATGTTGCAATATCTGCAGTTTGACTGTCCTGATTTGAATACTCCAGTTGTTCTGAGAATAATTCTTAATAAAAGTTCATAGATGGCTGTCTTTGCCTTTTTAATCTGTTTTCATCCAACAAAATTCGGCATTTTGGATCTACATATATCGAACTCAGCGTGATCTTATTGTCTAGCAAATTAGTTTCTCTTTTCTTCATTGAAGAAATTATTCTTTCTGCAATAAATCCTCCATTTCAGAAAGAACAAACATCCCATTCTTCCAGTCTTGCCTCTTGTTAATTCTTCAGATTGTAGCTTTTTGGTGGTATAGAAAGAAGAGATTCCAATTCGGCAAGATCATTCTACAGATCATTCTACAGTTCTGCATTCTTCGGCAAGATCATTCTACATTCTACAGTCTGTTAGTGAAACATTAAAGTTATCTACATCTTCTAACATTCTTGTCTCCTGTTAATTCTTCAGACTATAGCTTTTTTAAGGCTACATATGGTGTTGAAAAAAGGATTTCCAGTCCTGCAAGATCATTCCAGTCTTTCTGTTAGTGAAATATTAGGGTTAGCTACATCTTCTGAAAAAGTTCTTAATCCTAACAACCACTATATCATCAAATATGCACTCCTCCATTATGTTGCTCCTTTGCCTGCTCGCTTCCTAAGAATGGCATCAATTTTGTGAGTTATTGCTGCTTACTTCAATTCACCAATGAGATTAGTAACTAAATGAATCAGTTTAATAAATAATGGCAAATATCACATCCATCCTGTTCCCTTATATTTATTTACTAATATGTCAATAGAATAGAAAATAACTATTTTTAATGTATATATTCCATAAATAAAAATATTAACTCAGTTTGTCATTTTTTTCATTTCACTTTAATTTCATTTCAAATTCAAACTGTCCAATAAAAACTTTAGTCTGAGTCGACGTGTTTTTTAGCGACTCCGACTCCTTTTACCCCAAAATCTACCCGACTCCTACTCCATGACTCTGACTCCACAGCCCTGGTTATTACATATATCAAATACTTTATAATGTATGTACTTTTACATCATATATCATACAAAAATAATGACATAGTATATAATAATCATGTTAATAAGTCCAGAGTAATCATGATACACAAGTCCATGATACGCCCATAAGTATTTTGTAACATACATTGTTTTAACATTCATGGAGTCTGTTAAAGTTCTTTGTTTTATATCTAATAACTTTTCATTATTTTCATTACATTCTTGGTTTCTAGTTGTAAAAGCATATATTTTTTCCAATCTGAGATAGATCATAAAGTAACTAGGGCAATTTTGCATAATTTTACGACAGCAATCTTGTAAATACAGTTTTACATAGCATTATACGCATATACTGTTTTAACACACTATGCACAATTTCTCGTAATACATGCCTTTTTCTCTGCATATTATATATGCAGTTATTATTTACAAAGTTCGAAATAATATTCTCATTATGTAGAATTTGTTTACATCAAATGCATATTTCTGCATAATTCCAAGTTACACTATTTTAACTATACAATTACAATACATATAATAAAATTAATTAATACGATAAACTGAACTTCAAATACTATAATTGTGTTATGTAATTCAAATGATTGCTTCCTAGATACAGTTTACTTTTTCTTGCTGACAGTTCTCTTGCCTAGCTTGTAGTCTGCCACTCTGCTTTTGCAGTCACTTCTAATACATTTTAAGTGTTGGCATACATCCATTCTTATCGACGTTTAGTTTTCTTAGTAAGATGGCTTTCAAAACTCATTTTATTATTACAGTTTTGTGTATTCATTAGAATTTCTGATGTACAGTCTTGCACACAGAAGATAAAAGTGTTTCATTCATACAGTGTTGGCACTGTTCACTTTCAAATTATTGAGTTAGTTAATCAAAAATTCATTAAGGTTTTACAAAATATGAAATATAAAATTAAAATTCAGGCTTCCAGGTGCACATTTTTGGGTAGAGGACTATGTTATTCAAAATCTGATGATTGTAGGACCCCCCTTTTTTTTCCATAATGCAAGGAACATACATGCAGATTCTTCGTTATTTAATTTCTTCGAAAATAATACAAGTCAATAATATTTGATGGCAACAATTTAAAAATTGGTACAGCCATTTAATGTGGATGATGCAAAGTACTGTTTAAAGACTAATAGCCCATTCAGGCTAAAAAAGGAAAATGAGTAGTTTTATTCATTTAGGAAGATCATCCATAACCCGCTTTATGGGAAATTTTCAGCGGGAGACACAAATCTTTTTATACTTGCTATGCTCGTCTCACGTTAGAAAGGCACTGGGAGAAGTTAAAATGCGCAGTGTAAATGTCAATGTAATGAGATAACAGACCTCTTTTACATGAACTTGTCTTACAGAGTGATCATGCGACATCCCTTTATATTTGTTTCTATTTGTTTTGTTCTCAGCTGCCCAAATGGGATAGTGGTTAGTGAGTCTGACTACCGTACCGTAGAGCCCAGGTTCAAATCTTGGAGAAGGCATGGATGTTCGTAAATGCAGTCTTTGCAGCATGGGAGCGCTCTAAATATACAATGAGCCAAAAGTCCTCTTGTGTAGATTGGTGGTAGGGAATAAATGGTGGGAGACCCTCAGACCTAATCCTGGGCTACTCTCTCTAAAAATTGGGGTGAAACTGAGCAAAATCATACTATCATCTATATGGTGCACAAGGTTCTTCCCAACAACAGGCCTAATATTGTACTCCTTGCCACAATGAACTTCAGCAGCTTGTTCCGATGTCGGATAAGCAAGATTAGTCACAACAATACACTTTTCTTAATTTGAGGTGGGGCCAGATAGCCTTCAAGTGGACCATAGTTTTCCCATCCCTGACATAAAAGAAACATTTTCTTAAAAATAATTTTTCACATATTTGTAAATTCTCAAAGCACTGCATTTTTTTCTCAAAACATCTTTAAATAAAACTAATACATTTTTCATTCTTAACGACCATTGATAAAATAAATTATTCCCAAACACATTAAATTTTCAAGTTAGCAATAAGAAAAATTTTTGTTTACATATAATGTATTATAATACTAAATAAATAAAACCAAATAATCTCTTTAAAAAAAACGGAGCTCTAAAAAATTTAGTGAAGATATAGGAGAATTACTGAATTATTTCAAGAAGCTTACAGTGTTGAAGTAAGTTTATTAAAGAAGACAGTACATAATTATGGCTTCAGTTACATAATATGTCACATTCATACATGCTACCTTTACATTCTATATATAAATAACAGATACATGTATTTTCCTATTGACCATGAAAGCTGACAAAGATCCCACCAAAATTATGCCAATCAGTACAGCACAAGTTTGAAGTAAAGAATCACTCTTCATCTAATTAGAGAATCAACAGATACAAGTTACAAACATAGCATATAAAAAAACTTCAATAAATATGAGCTCAAGTCTCGAGACTATCTGCTGAACAAATTCATTAAAAGAGTGTTAATAATTCCACAGTAGAAAATCTCTAACAGAGTTTAAAATAGCAATAAAGCTGTTACTTTCCTTGTGAAGTCAACATTAGATAAATTCACTTAAATATGAAGCTAAGTGGTATTGCATAGTTTATAATTGTGCCATTTTGTCAAACTTTACAGTATTTCAATGTTGTATGAACACTAGTATAAGCAGTTCTGCACCTTTTAAAAACATTCCACCACCTACTGTTCTCAAGAAAATGGTAGATAAAGTGATGATGTGCAAAACAATATTTGCAGCCACAGACTGGGAAACATAATGTATCAATAAGCTTACAGGATTTCTATCAAAGTTCCATGCTATGCATCTTCAGGAATCTCATGTACACATGCTGGTGAATTTATGTCACTCCGTGTTTTATTGTACCATCTATATAAAAAGCAATAACAGTTTTCTGCTAAGGAATTGTTTGCTCTGACAAAGTAACTAATTCTCATATAAGATACTTGCCAATGTAAAATGGAATAATGTCATCTGCTGAGTGCTTCTGAATCGACTCTGTCATTATTTGTACCACAATGTGAGGATTAAGCCATTTTGATATCTTACAACATACTTATTTCAAAACACTACTTGTCAGCAGTTAAATATACTGTTATCGTACTACTCAAGTAATTGTCACTAGCGTAAAACACACATGCCAATTTCCAAGAATGAATTTTATCACACAACAACTTGTAACTCAGCTATATTATGCTTGTAAGTCCATACCTGCAAATACCTTGACTGCAAATTACTTTATACATCCTCTTCTTATATTTCTGGGCATTTGCAAAATGCCACATTTTGTACCCATTGTTTTGTTCACATGCTTCATCACCCCTAAAAGTTTCATGTCTGTTATCATTGGGGAGTCCAACTGCTTTCCATAGAAGCATAATATTCTATAAGGTACATTTTAGCCAAGAAATTTTATTTAGAGCAATCTATGATAGCAAAATCTACGACTAGCATTTTTGCTAAACACATGTGTTTTGGGTGCAATTTTACATTTTTGTATATAGTAAAAATCAAGTAGTGACATCACTGTATTTAATTTTTAAACTGCATATAAATAAAACCAATAAAAATAACTATAAATAAATTATCAGAAAATAAAGAAATATCTGTAAAATTTAAAGTTTTTTTAGTCATTGTTTATACAACTAAAATTTCTTCTATCTCAAGAAATGAAGTAAACAAAAAATATAAACAAAGCATGTAATATTTTAATTACTTTTCTAAAACTATTAATTTCATTAATTTGTTAAATTCATTTGTTTCATTAATTTGTCATATTTGCTGTAAATATGTTTACCTTTCTTTTCTCCAGGAGTAATATTTTTATCATAAGTTAATACTTCTTTTTCTTTTTTCTCTTTTGGCTTTTTCTAAAAAAGAAAACTTATATAGTTTCACTTTCATATACATGTATGCACAGGAAATTATGCATGGAAAAAATGCTATTTATGGCACAATAAAAAGAAAGCTTGATTCCACAGAACATTGCTTTTTAAAGCAAAATTATGTGCAAGAAATAAACAAATGAATGGCAATTACATTTACAGTCAAAAATCTTTAATCCGGACTCGTCGGGACTTCGATTCCGGATTATCGATTTTTCCGGATTATAGATCATCAGTTTAAATCTGGTAAGATGGCATGCAGAAATATAAAATTAAAAATATGAAACCGTATTTATAAGAATGAGCAGTTATGATCTCTAAAGGGGTATCAAAATTTTACAAAAAAGAAGCTTAATATTTATTTGTTTACTTTATTAAACAATTCTTTCAACGTGCGCATGCGTAAAGCATACATTACGCATAGCCGAAATTAGAAAATTGCAACCAGAAAAACTATTTGATTGTATTCGTGATATTTATAATGACGAGGAATTTGATTTAAATCATATCAAAAACGGAGATACAAAATCGAGTAATCGAGATACAAATACTACATCGGAGAGGATTATAAGCCGAATAAAATAAAAACATCTGCCCTGAAGATAACGATAGTGTTGACAGATCAACTTCCAGTTCATTGCGCGCCACGACGTTCCCCCTCCCCCGCGCAAAGCAGCGTGAAATTGATAAACAGATTTCGGAACGGTTAGATAAACAAAGAATATGCCTTTATCCATTTTTTGTAGCAATTCCACTTTTTGTTTGATGGACATCGAAACAAACTTTCGTTTTGTAGATCCTTTGGGAGCTGCAGCATCGGAAATTCTATTTGACATAATCGAAAGTTCAAGCTTACTTTTATAAAATTGCTCTTACAGTCTGCAAAAAATAACAAGCCGGATCCAATTCGAAGATTAAGGAACAACGCAATCATCAACATTAACTGAAATAGATAATTAGATAATTTTAGCTTATACCGCCCGTTATACATTAAACGCGCAAGCGAAAACGTATTCTGCGATTGCGCAGATGCATATGCGCAGTCGTAAAGGTCTTGCGCGCAGGCGTAAACGTCTATGCGCATGCCCAGAAAGATTTTAGCTTTGAGGGTCCGGATTATAGATCATTCCGATTATGGGTGTCCGAATTAACAACTTTTGACTGTATAAAGTAATTGAATACACACATATAATCGCTTAATTTTTTTTAAAATTTAATGATCAGATTTTTCTTTCATGTACATTGCATTTATATCTCTCCCACTGTACTGATTCTATATCTTTGACCAAACAACTTGAAATTTCTGAACTGCCACCTTTTTCAGTCAATATTTTTTACAGTAGCAGCAAATTAGCAGCATTTGGGTGAATAATTTATAAATGTTGCTTAGAAAGATTTTTTTTTCTTTAATGCAGTTTAAGCTACCATGTGACAAAGCTTATGGTACAATGCTATCAATCTATTTCTTTCCATAAGCAATTATTTATTATAAGGTGACCAGATTTCCCGGAGGGCAAAGTGGGACGTAGGGATCCAAATTTGGGTGGTGGGAGAGGGCGGAAGCCCCCTTCTGAAGGTGAAAATACGGAGTGCAAAATTTTTTAGTGAAGTCACATTGCCCTGTAAAGAATTACCCACTATTTGCAAATTACCTGTGTGTTAAACAGACTGTTATTGAAAGAAAAATTAGAATTTACCCATATCTCAGGCTGAATCAAATAATTAAATCAACAATCACGGACTTTGGTATCTGGACTCAGATGTGCTTCCAGTAAGAGTAAGAGCGAAGCCAAAGAATAAAAAAAATAGCAATCGGAAAATAAAAGTTTGTAACTTCCTACCTGCCTTACTGTTTGAATGTGTCCATCCAGCACATGACGCCGCAAATGTTTTAATTTGATGCGGATAATGGACCTTCCTGATCAGCCACTGACCTAGAAAGATCATCCTGTGTAGATGCTCCGTACACGTATTTCATTGATGAATGAATGTTTCTAAGAAGTTTTGGTTCTTGTAGAAATCTCTCATAGACTTCATCACAGGAACTGTCAACTCAAAATTGCACTTCACCATTAACATTGCTTTTAGTGTCTCCAGTTTTGACTTCTTTTCAGTTGTCCATATGATATTCATGCATGAGAAAACTCTTTCACTGGCGGCATTTGTACCTGGGAAACACAATAAAACTCCACAATTTCATGGATTTGCGCACATGGCACGTTTTTATGATGAAAAATTTCAGTCCTTTGACAGTCGACACTAGTTTTCAGACAATTCTAATCTGCAATATTTTTTGGAAGTAAATTGCCTAATTAGCTTGCTTTGTCAAATAACTCATTATCATCGTTGTCAACCTTCAGAATCTTCCACCCAAAAAGTTGTAAGCTCTTGTACTTTTTCACACAACAGTAGCTCCTTTAATGGAATCCAACTAAATGCATTTAGCCTCTCTTTCAGATATTCAGCACAGTTGTCATAAAAATTTACAATGGTTCTTATAACGTCATTTTTTCTCACCAATCCTTCCTCTTCTAATTGGGTAATCCACATACGTACTTCATTGGGCAAAAAGTTTTTTTCCGCTCCTCTCAGTGCATTTATGTAGTGAATCATCCAGTTCAGAAGATACTTCCAATGCTGTTACAGTCTTCAATATGCAGAACTGTCGCTTGAAACACCGCAGCAATATTATGTACGAAATAGAGCCACAATTCAGCACAGGGATTCTCAGAAAAGTTGCGGATTAGGGTGGGACACTTCCCATTCCGACAAGAAAGTGCAGGAAACAATTTTAAAACTCTCTCTACTGCAAGCATCAGTAATAACCATCTAGTTTTCCCATATCCTAAAATGCACTGGTACTCTACACAGGTAAAGTCACAAAATTCTTTGAATGACTCAACACAAACAGTGTAGATACAGAAATAATAATAAATTTTCATAGCAACTGCTTCCACATAAATTTGCAAGCAATCCCCTGTTGTTTGTATTGCGTTGTGAACGATATGAGCAGCACAACCAATACCTAGCAGTTTCCTCTTGAGGGCATCTTGTAATATTGAAAAACGTTTCTACCTCTTCTTTTTAATCCCTCCAAAATTTGTGTTAGCGTTGTCTGCACAGATGCCAACAACCTTTTTTGTCAGACCATGGCGTTGTAATGCATTTACAAGAAAATTGCAAATCGTCTGTGCTGTTTCTCCAGAAAGAGATTGCATGTCCAGGATTTTAACCTTCACACCTGACAGTGGCACAAAATATCTCACTATTACAGAAAATAGCTTGACATCCTTATGGTTTGATGCGTCTGTAAACACTGTCACAAAATTCGAAACATTTAATTCTGCCTTGACTTGGTCCATTACATATGGACACAGAACATTCGTGCGCAAGAGAATTTTGGATTAAAAGATTTTTTCATTAATTTGGAAGTACAGTCGATTGACCTAAAGCTGTGATTGTGATAAATTGTGTGGTACGCAAAGGTGCCTTCTGTAGCAGCCAACTGTTATATATGTAACTGTAACTGTATCTATTATTATCTATAGCAAATGAGCAATGTAGAATAAACGATGTTTGTGTACATCTTGTAATCATCACTGAGCACATACCCAACATATATAAAATACAACACATGGCGCAGCCCGTCATAGATTAAAAAAGAAAACCTTTTTTGAAGAACCATGCAGCGTGGGTAAAGATATTCTAAACAAAAAAATGATGGAAAGTTGTTTACTGTGAAATCGAAACTTATATCGCTGGTAAGTGCGTTGTTTATTTTTATTGAAAGTGGCTAAAAATACGTATATATAAACTATTTAAAGTCCTAAATTAAATATGGATGGATTAAAGCCACCAAGTAATCTAAATTTCGAAGGTAATTTAAGCGAAAATTGGAAGAAATGGAAACAAAAATTCCAAATTTATATGTTAGCATCTGGTGGTATTACTAAATCACCTGAAATTAAAGTAGCTATTTTATTGCACATTATATGTGAAGACGATAAGAAGGATGTTGACAAAGTAATTGAAGCCTTCGAAAATTTTTGCATAAAGTGTTGATAGACATAGATTTTTCTGTCAAACACAACATGTAGGTGAATTGTTTGATGATTTTTTAACCGATTTAAAGAAATTAAGTAGCAACTGTGGATATGCAGAATTAAAAGATAGTTTAATAAGGGAAAGAATAGTAAGTGGAATTCTAAATAAAAATCTCAAAGATAGATTATTCAGGGAAGATCAGTTAACATTGGAGAAATGTATTAAAATGTGCAAAGCTTCTGAATTAGCAGAACTTCAGCTGAAAACTTTAACTGAAGAAAATAAAATAGAAGCTATCAAACGTAATAAATTTCAACCATCAGAGGAAAAAAGTCATCCTTGTAAGAAAGACTGTCATGTAAAACAAAAGCAACAAAGAACTAAATCTTCTTCAAACTATCAAGGAAATAAATACAATAATCCAAAACCATGAAGAAAATGTGGAACTTTTCATAAGTTATACAACTGTCCTGCTTATAATAAGATTTTCTTGTACTGTAAAAAGAAAAATCACTTTTTTAAAATGTGCACTTATAAAAATGTTAATGTTGTGCAGAATAATTTAGAGCATGAGTTGCATAATAATGGTAATGAATAACTTTTAGGGTCAGTAGAAGATACAAATCCATTTTCTAAAAATAAACCAGAATGGTTTGAAAAACTAAAAGTAAAAGTATCTAAATATTTATTTGTTAAGTTAGCAATACTGGTGCTCAGTGTAATGTGTTGCCATTGCCTAAATTTTAAACAATTAAATTTTAAAAGTTAATGTTTGACTAAATCATTAAGTCACTTTAAATAATTATAATGGAACTACAATTTGATGACTAAATCAAAAATCACTTAAATTATTATGTGAAACATCGAAAGGGGATAAGGATGAAGTAGAATTTCAAAAGTCGTAGGATGTGCTAAAACTGTTCCAGCTATTTTAGCTGGAA